AAACCCTAAACCCCAAACCCTAAACCCTAAACCCTAAACCCTAAACCCTAAACCCTAAACCCTACCTTGTCGCTCATTTCCCAAGTTTCAACAGGGTCTATTTCAAGATAGTCTTTAGCAGCAGCATCTGTGACAGCTTTTGTTTCCCCGTACATTGAGGCCTCTTTCATGGCGTATTTGCTCCAGTACCTGCCTCAAACCCTAAACCCTAAACCCTAAACCCTAAACCCTAAACCCTAAACCCTAAACCCTGATTGATGAGCGCTGCTGGCGGCTGGAGAGGAGGCGAAAAGAGCCTTGCTAACGTCTAGGCGGCGGCAGCGCTCGGCGCAGCGCCAGCGCCTAGGGTTTAGGGTTTAGGGTTTAGGGTTTAGGGTTTAGGGTTTAGGGTTTACCCCGTGATGGCGTAGTCGGCCCTGGAAAACTCCGGAGTCAAAAGGTTTAAAGCCTCAGCAGCAAACTGCGCTGTGGCCCCTCCAGACATGAACAGCAAATTGTGAGTTTGGGGAATTTCCAGAAAACGAGTTGCTGCTTCTTTTGCTTCCTGCAGCACCTTCTTGAAGTGCGGGCCGCGGTGGCTCTGCAGCAGCAGCAGCAGCAGCAGCAGCAGCAGCAGTAGCAGCAGCAGCAGCAGCAGCAGCAGGACTGCTGCAGCAGCAGCAGAGGGAACGGCACTGGCTGCGGCTGCGCAGGGCTGCGCGCCCAAGTGGCAGCAGCAGCAAGAGCAGCAGCAGCAGCAGCAGCAAAGGGGAGCAGCAGCAAGAGCAGCAGCAAGAGCAGCAGCAGCAAGAGCAGCAGCAACAAACCATTTCCATCACGCTGATTCCCCAGCCTCTGAAGTCGACCAGCTCGCGCTGCACATCTTCCATGACCTCCACAGGCAGCTGGCAGGGCCCTGCAGCAGCAGCAGCAGCAGCAGAAGCAGCAGGAGCAGCAGAAGCAGCAGCAGCAGCAGCAGCGGCAGCAGCGGCAGCAGCAGCAGCAGCAGCAGCAGCACAAATGTTATGTTGCTGTTGGCAGACAGCGCAGTGGCCTCAGGTGTACGGACACATGTGCGCGTTTAGATGCGGAATAAATAGTGAATTAGATTAAATTAATTAATTAAATAAATTAAATAATTTAATTTATTAAATTAAATGTTTTAATTTAATTTCTATTCACCAGCAGAGAAGTTCAAAAGGCGCTTCGACTGCGACATTTTGCTGCTCGGGGTCACCTGCTGCAGCGCGGAGTGTACGTACACCTCAAAACCAACAGCCTTCGCAGCCCCACGCAGCTCTAAATGGAAGCAAATTAAATCACAAAATATAAATTCTGAAAATAAATACTTTTGCGCTTTTGTGGAGGCAAAAGTCTGCTGCTTGAGCGGCCGTAACCGCTGCTGCTGCTGCTGCTGCTGCTGTCGCTGCTGCTGCTGCTGCTGCTGCTGCTGCTGGCTGGGGTGAGTTACAAATGCAAACACAAATGATAGGCTAAATCAAAGGCCTTTAAGTTCCCACAAAGTCAGGCCTCAATTCATTACCGGGAGCTGCTGCTCGCAGCTGCTGCTGCCGCCGCAGCAGCAGCTGCTGCGGCTCCGGCTGCTGGGACCAGCAGCAGCAGCAGCAGCAGCAGCAGCAGCAGCAGCAGCAGCAGCAGCTGCTGCGCCAGCCCTCCTCAGCATCGTCTGCATTTCCGTTATATTTCGTGTCGGCCAAATTAGCAGACGAGGGAGATCAGGTTTAAGTGGACTTCAGCAGCAGCAGCAGCAGCAGCAGCAGCAGCAGCAGCAGCAGGGAGCAGCAGCAGGAGCTGCTGCTGCTGGTGGCTGCAGTCGAGCGGGACTCTCTTGTCCCCATTTTGCGAAGAAGCCTCACAACGCTGACTGGAAGGCGCAGCTTTGCTGCAGCAGCAGCAGCAGCAGCAGCAGCAGCAGCAGCAGCCGCATCGTCCGCCGCAGCGAGAATGGCAGCAGTTCCAGTGACGCGCACCGCAGCAGCAGCAGCAGCAGCAGCAGCAGCAGCAGCAGCGCCCTACAGCAAGCCAGCAGCAACAGCAGCAGCAGCGTCCGGCCGTGTGGGGGCCTCCCACTGCCGCAGGGCCCCCTGGGGGCCCCTGGGGGCCCCCCGGGGCCCCCCGGGGGCCCCCTGGGAGCCCCCGGGGGCCTCGCGCCACTTTGCTGCGCGGACGCGCCGCATGCGTGAGGAGCAGCAGCGGCGGCGGCAGCAGCAGCAGCAGCAGCAGCAGCAGCAGCAGCAGGAGTGGGGTTTGTGGGCTTCTTCCGCGCGTCCCGCGCCGCTGCCCGCACACCCCCAGCAGCAGCAGCAGCAGCAGCAGCAGCAGCAGCAGCAGCAGCAGGGCCTCGGGACCCAGCTGCTGCTCGCAGTGGCCTCTGGGGCTGGGGTCTTTCTGGGCTTTGCCCTTTTGGCCCGCCTGTGGGGCTGGGGGGCCCCCAGGGCCCTCCACGTGGACCCTGCGGGCCGCCCCGTGGACCCTCTCACGGGGGCCCCCCTCTCCCTCTAAACCCTAAACCCTAAACCCTAAACCCTAAACCCTAAACCCCCCCCCTGGGCCCTGCGTCTGCGGCCCTCGCGCAGGGCCTGCGCAGGCAGCGCCAGGGGGGCCCCCAGAGGACTCCCGGGGGCCCCATCGGACCCGGGGGCCCCCTGGGGGCCCCAGGGCCCCCGGGGGGCCCCCAAGGGCCTCCAGGGGGCCCCAGGGGCCCCGGGGCCCTCAAAGAGGCCACTTGGGGCCTCCAGGGGTCCCGTAGGGGCCCCTCGACGGTTCGGTGGGGCCCCCTGGGGCCTTCCGGGGTCCCCCTGGGGCCCCCTGGGGCCCCCTAGGGCCCCCCTGGGGCCCCCTGGGGGCCACCTGGGGCCCCCTGGGGGCCCCCTGGGGCCCCCTGGGGGCCCCCTGGGGGCCCCTTCTTTTAGGCTTTTGGCAGTTCCTGTGGGGCCTACAGTTTGCAGGGTTTGCGCTGCAGCTGCTGGGGCCCCCTGCCGCTGCTTGGGCTGGCAAGGGCCGCCATTTTATTGCAAAAAGGGTTCATTTGGGGGCCCCCGGGGGCCCTCAGGGCCCTTTGGGGGCCCCCAGGGGGCCCCGGGGGCCCCCGGGGGGCCCCCCGGGGGCCCCAGAGGCTCTTTGGCTGGCTGATTTGTTTGGGACTTGAAGACAAAAAATGTTTGTTTTAAAATGTTTATTTCGAAATGTTTTTTTAAAAAGTTTATTTCGAAATGTTTTTTTAAAGGTTTATTAAATGGAGTGCTGGGTGTAGACTTGCAGTTGTTAAAAAGTAAAAAGACAAACTTGTTTTAAGTTCTTTTAATTATTAATTGAATTAATAATTAAAAGAAATTAAAAATTAATTATTAATTGAATTTTAATTAAGTTAAAATTCAATTAATAATTTTTAAACAGAATATTCACACCTCCAGCTGGGCCTGCGGTGTACGTACACTGCCCGTGCCACCCCACAACTGTTTTAAAGACAAGGGGCCCCCAGGGGGCCCCTTTGGGCCCTGTAGGGGCCCCCTTAAGGGCCCCCTAGGGTCCCTTTAGGGGCCCCCTAGGGCCCCCCTGGGGGCCCCTTAGGGGCCCCCTAGGGGCCCTCAGAGGACCCTTCCAAGAGCCTCTTAGGGGCCCCTCATAAGGGCCCCCCAAGGGCCCCCCGAGAATTCCTGGGGGCCCCCTAGGGGCCCCCTGGGGGCTTTTTAGGGGCCTCTTGGGGGCCCCCTTAGGGCCCCCTAGGGGGCCCTAAAGGGGCCCCCAAAGGGCCCCAAAGGGCCCCTTGAGGGCCCCCTAGGGGGCCCTAAGGGGGCCCCCGTGAGTGCATGCAAAAAGAAAGAAGGTTGTGGGGTTTGTTGAGTTGTTTGTGTTTTCGGGTGTATGTACACCCCAGGGTGTCGCAAGTTTGGACTTTGGACTTTTAGGAAAAGTCTTTTTGCATTTATTTCTTTTTCATCTTTTTGCATTTATTTCCTTTTCATCTTTTTGCTTTTATTTCTTTTATTTCTTCATTTAATTTTTAATTTGTTTCTTTTTTGATTTATTTATTTTTCTTTTTTTAATTAAAAAGACAACTTCGAAGCAGAAAGCCATTCCTGGCAGTGCAGCACTTTCCTGATTTCATTTTATTTATTTTTAATTTTTAATTTATTTATTTTTAATTTATTTTTAATTTACTTTTAATTTATTTTTAATTTATTTTTGATTATTCATTATTTATTATTTGCTGCTTGTTGAGTGGAAAAAGTAAATGGACCAATTAGTTAATATAAACGTATTCATATTTTTATAGTAGCCAGCTACCTAAATAGCTAGCTAGCTAGCTAGCTAGCCGCCTGGCTAGCTAGCTAGGTAACTAGCTAGCAGCCTAGCTAGCTTGCTAGCTAGCTAGCTAGCTAGCCGCCTAGCTAGCTAGCTAGCTAGCAAGCCGCCTAGCTAGCTAGCAAGCTAGCTAGCAAGCTAGCTAGCTAGCAAGCAAGCTAGCGAGCAAGCAAGCTAGCTAGCTAGCCAGGTGGCTAGCTAGATGGTTAGCTAGCTGGACAATTCACTGGGCAGTAGCCCACTATCTAGCTAGCTAGCTAGCTAGCTAGCTAGCCGGCTAGCTGGCTGGCTGGCTAGCTAGCTAGCTGGCTAGCTAGCTAGCTAGCTTGCTAGTTAGGCAGCTGGCTAGCTAGCTAGCCATTGGGCTGGCTAGCTGTTCGTACACAGAGCAGCGGAAGATAAAACAGTGGGGCCCCAGGCCTCATATATTTGCTGCTGCTGCTGCTGCCGCTGCTGCTGTTGCTGCTGCTGCTGTTGCTGCTGCCGCTGCTAGTGCTAGGCCGTGGAGGCGTTTAGTGTAGCCTCTCTGCAGGCCTTTCTGGGGCGAACCAGAAGTGATTGAGCTGCTGCTGCTCTGCTGCAGCAGCAGCAGCAGCAGCAGCAGCAGCAGGGTCAGCAGCAGCAGCAGCGGGGTGTACGTACACACGAGACGTCAGCTGCTGCTTATACACCGGAGAGCATTTGTATGCACAAAGCCCCAGTGCAGCACAAATGGAGCTTACTGCTGCTGCTGCTGCTGGTGTTGCTGCTGCTGCTGCTGGTGTTGCTGCTGCTGCTGCTGCTGCTGCTGGTGCTGCTGCTGCTGCTGCTGCTGCTGCTGGTGCAGGTGCTGCCGCTGCTGCTGGGGCTGCTGGTTTGCCAATTGCTACCAGTGCAGCGCCGCTTCCTGTGAGGCCGCTGGCTTGCAGCACTTGCTGCTGCTGCTGCTGCTGCTGCAGTGCCTCTGCTGCTGCTGCTGCTGCTGCTGCTGTGCGGGGCGCGGTGATGGCGCTGAGGGCTGCTGCTGCTGCTGCCACTTGTGGCTGCAGTGCAGCAGCAGCAGCAAACAAATCGTTGCTGAGCAAACAGCGACGGAAGGCATTTACCACTGCTCGCGGCGGCGCCTCTGCTGCTGCTGCTGCTGCTGCTGCTGCTGCTGCTGGTGCCGCTGCTGCTGCTTCTGCTGCAGTTGGTGCTGCTGCTGCTGCTGCAGCGCCGTCCTTACCCATAAGCCACTGAGAGACCAACTCGATGTCTCCGCCCCAGTCGCTGCTGCTGTTGCTGTTGCTGCTGCTGCTGCTGTTGCTGCTGCTGCTGCTGCTGCTGCTGTGGGCAGCAGCGTCAAACTGCTTGAAGACTTCCCGCGAGGACAGCCCCTCACTGCCCTTGACAACGAACACCTCCAGCTGCTGCTGCTGCTGCTGCTGTTGCTGCTGCTGCTGCTGCAGAGCGTGCTGCAGCAGCAGCAGCAGGCGGGAGGAGCAGCAGCAAACCTTTTCGCCGCGGCTGCAGCAAACGGCGCCGCCGCTGCTGCTGAGGAAAAAGGGGACATCTGAGCCGAGCTGTAGAGACACCAGAGAGGCCATCTCAGCAGCACTAAATGGAAGCCCTGCTGCTGCTGCTGCTGCTGCTGCTGCTGCTGCTGCTGCTGCTGCTGGGGCTTTTCCGCTTGCAGATGCTGCTTTTGCTGTTGCTGCTTCCGCTGCAGCTGCCGCTGGGGGCGCCGTTGCTTCGCCATTGCTATAGGTGGCTCCCAGTCGTATATGTTGTTGTTGCTGCTGCTGCTGCTGTTGCTGCTGCTGCTGCTGCTGTTGCTGCTGCTGCTGCTGCTGCTGTTGCTGCTGTTGCTGCTGCTGCTGCGAGAAGAACCCCTTGGTAAGCAGAACATCTGCTGCATGCAGCACAGCAGCAGCATTGGAAGAGCCCCCGCCCAGGCCGGCCTCCATGGGTATTTCCTTTTTTAGGTGCACCACAAACTTCACTTGCTGCTGCTGCTGCTGCTGCTGCTGCTGCTGCTGCTGCTGCTGCTGCTGCAGGCAGTGCTGCCTGAAGAAGTTCAGGGCCTTGAAGACCAGGTTTTTCTCTGGAGGGCAATTCAGGTCTTTGCTGCAGAACAGAACGTCCCCTTGGCTGCTGACGGAGACAAATGGAAACCTGCTGCTGCTGCTGCTGCTGCTGCTGCTGCTGCTGCTGCTGCTGCTGCCGCAGGCTGCAGCGTCCAGTGAGAAGCCCGGCGGCTTCAAGTGTACAGACAGCTCGTCGTAGAGACTGATGGTCTGAAAGGCCGACAGCAGCTCATGGTACCCGTCACTCTTGCTGCTGCTGCTGCTGCTGCTGCTGCTGCTGCTGCTTCTGCTGCTGCTGCTGCTGCGGGGAAAGACTTTAAGGAAGAGGTTTACCTTCGCTGGGCTGCAGAGGCGCAGCCCCACAGTGAAGGGACATTTGCTGTCGCCGCAGGTGCAGGGGGGCTTAGCAGCAGCAGCAGCAGCAGCAGCAGCAGCAGCTGCTGCTGCTGCTGCTGCTGCTGCAGTAGCTGCTGCTGTTCGTGCTGCTGTTGGAGCTGCTTCAGAAAAGGCTGCTATTCTTACCTTGGGCGTGCGGGTGGAAGCTGCCCGTTGCTGCCTCTTCTGGACTTTTGCTGCTGCTGCTGCTGCTGCTGCTGCTGTTGCAAACGCGGGCTGCAGCTGCTGCTGCAGCAGCAGCCGTGCGGAGCAGCGCAGCTGCGCTGCTGTGCGTCTTGTGGGAAGCAGCAGCACTCGTGCATGCTGCTGCATGAGGCCCTCAGCAGCAGCAAGCGGCAGCAGCAGCAGCACCAGCAGCGGCAGCAGCAGCTGCAGCAGCAGCAAGCCCCGACGGGAGACAGACCCCATTGAGCCGCCGTCGCAGCTGCTGCTAGAGCACTGCAGCAGAAAAACAGCAGACTATAGAAGGTTACTGCATACTAGAGTTAACTGCAGCAGCAGCAGCAGCAGCAGCTGCTGCTGCTGCTGCTGCGGCAGCAGCAGCCATGGCGGCAGCAGCAGTCGTCGTTATCTTGCAAAGCCTGCTGCTTCTTGTCTTGCAACTGATATTACAAAAGCAAATAAACAGAAAGACAAGGTCGAGCAGCAGCAGCAGCAGCAGCAGCTGCTGCTGCTGCTGCTGCTGCTGCTGCTGCTGCGTGGGGCCCCTCGGGGGGCCCCTGTCGGCTGCGCCGACCCAGCTGTGTCGTATCCCAAGGTGAAGGGTTTAGGGTTTAGGGTTTAGGGTTTAGACTAGTGAGTCTTGTTAATGCATCTTCGAGGTTTCGTGGCAACAGGGCCTCACGCGTTGCTGCTGCTGCTGCTGTTGCTGCTGCTGCTGCTATTGTGGCAGTCGCTGCTGCTGCAGCCGTTGCTTCTATGCTGCTGCAGCAGCAGCAGCAGCACCTTTCTCTGGCGACTAGTTTTTGCTTATTAGTTTCCAGGGCTTCTTTACTGAGCAGCAGCAGCAGCAGCAGCAGCAGCAGCAGCGGCAGCAGCAGCAGCAGCTCTGCTGCTCGCTTTGCTGCTGTGCCTGTTGACCGCTGCAGAAGGGCTGGGGCGGAATACTTCCAAACCCTAAACCCTAAACCCTAAACCCTAAACCCTAAACCCTTCTGCTGCGAGCCCTTCAGGCGAATACAGCAGCCCAAAGACAGGGAGATAAAGGCGAAGCAAAAAGACCCCCAAGACAAATAAATAAACAAATAATAAATAAATAAAAAATAAATAAATAAATAAATAAATAAATAAATAATAAATTAAAATAAATAAATAAAAGAATAAAAGGATAAACAAATAAACAATAAATAAAAACTCCACAATAAAATGCGCCCTTAGTCCTACGCTTTGGGGGCCCCCCCGGGGCCCCCTGGGGGCCCCCTGGGGGCCCCCCGGGGCCCCCTGGGGGCTCCCCGGGGCCCCCTGGGGGCCCCCCGGGGCCCCCGGGGGCCCCCGGGGGCCCCTGGGTTCCGGATAGAGAAGGGGCCCCCAAACGTTAAGTGCAGCAGGGCCCCTCAGGGGCCCCCGGGGGCCCCCGGGGGCCCCCGGGGGCCCCCTGGGGCCCCCGGGGGCCCCCAGGTTGTGGGTGCAGCAGGAGACCCCGGGAGTGCCCACGTTATGGCCAACAGGGGCCCCCAGGGGCCCCTGGGGGGCCCCCGGGAGTGCCCACGTTATGGCCAACAGGGGCCCCCAGGGGCCCCTGGGGGGCCCCCAGGTTTTGGGTGCAGCAGGGGCCCCAGTTTCTGGGTACAGGAGGGGCCCCCGGGGCCCCCGGAGCTTTTCTTGGAAGACCGCCAAGATCTGAGGGGCGTCTTCTCTCTATGGCTCCTCCTCTGCTGCTGCTGCTGCTGCTGCTGCTGCTGCTGCTGCTGCTGCTGCTGCTGCTGTTGCTGCTGCTGCTGCTGCTGCTGCTGCTGGTGCTGCCGCTGCTACGACTACTACTAGTACTACTGCTGCTGCTGCTGTGCTGCTGCACCTGCTGCTGCAGCTGCTGCTTTGCTTCTCTTGAAATACTCCTTTCTCATGTGCCCCTCATTTATTATCCTTTTCAGCTGTCTCCCAAAGTGCTGCTGCTTCCCTAAACCCTAAACCCTAAACCCTAAACCCCCAGTCTTCTTCTTCAGGTGTTTCTCAGTCTTCTTTTAAGCTGCCTTCCCGGGCGTTCGTCCCGCCTCAAACCCTAAACCCTAAACCCTAAACCCCAAACCCTAAACCCTAAACCCTAAAACCTGTGCCCTCCTCAAGTTTTCCCAGCACCAAAAATGCACTGGAATCCAACAAACACTCTGCGTAGTTGCGGAGCTACGCCAATGCTGCTGCTGCCGCTGCTGCTGCTGCTGCTGCTGCTGCTGCTGCTGCTGCTGCTGCCCCACTAGCAGCTGGTGCTCGCGCTGCCACTGTGCTGCAGCAGCAAATAAGAGTTGCTGCTGCGTCGTTGGTTTGCTGCACTTGTCTGTGTTGTTGGAAAGCGGCTACACCTGGAGCGCAGCAGCAGCAGGCGCTGCTGCTGCTGCTGCAGGGCGGCTGCTGCTGCTGCTGCAGAAGCTGCTGCTGCTGCTGCTGCAGCAGCAGAGCGAAGTGTACATACACCCCAAGCACTCTACAGTGTCACGACAGATGCCTCCGGGACAAAACCCTAATTAGGGAATTAAGTTCAGACTTGAACCTGCTTCTCCTTTGGCCTCTAGCAGCAGCAGCAGCAGTTGCTGCTGCTGCTGGCGCTGCTGCTGCTGCTGCTGCGTCTTCGGGGCCCGCTGGGTCGGTGCCGCTGCTGCTGCTGCTGCCGCTGCTCGAGTCCAGCGCAGCAGCAGCAGTCGTTGCTGCTGCTGCTGCTGCTGCTGCCTCAGGGTCTCCTTCGGCCTCGCTGCGGTGCCGCTGCTGCTGGAGGTGCCAGTCGCTGCTGCTGCTGCTGCCGCGCTGCCGCCGCTGCCCGCCTTCTGCAGCAGCAGCAGCAGCAGCAGCAGGAGCAGCAGCAGCAGCAGGAGCTGACCGCCGGCTAATGAAGATTCTGCCCGAAGTGCTGCTGCGGATTCGCCGCAGCAGCGCCCGCCGCTGCGGCAGCCCCCGCGGGGCGTCGCTGCCCCCCCCTGCAGCAGCAGCAGCAGCAGCTGCTGCTGCTGCTGCATCGCCGTCAGCAGCAGCAGCAGCAGCAGCAGCAGCACTTGTGGGGCGCATCGAAGCCACAAGGGCCCCCCAGAGTCTGCGGCGTCTGCTGTCTGCTGCTGAGTGGGCCCTTCTGAATCTCCTTCTTCTCCAGCGGAGTCTTTGCTGCTGCTGCTGCAGCGGGGGCACCTCTCCCTGCTGCTGCTGCTGCTGCTGCTGCTGCGGGGCTGCTGCTGCTGCTCGGAACAGCGAAAACCGCCGTGCTGCTCTCCTGCTGCGCTGCTGCTGCTGCTGCAGCAGCGCAGCAGGATAGTCCACCTGACACACCGCGTGGCAGCACCAACACTCCAGCAGCAAACAGCCCAGCAGCGAAATGTTCCTCGTGCTGCAGCGCCCGCATATCACGATCATCACCTGCAGCAGCAGCAGCAGCAGCAGCAGCAGCAGCAGCAAATGCAGTGGCAGCAGCAGCAGCAGCAAATGCAGTGGCAGCAGCAGCAGCAAAGGCAGTGGCAGCAGCAGCAGCAGCAAATGCAGTAGCAGCAGCAGCAGCAAATGCAGTGGCAGCAGCAGCAGCAGCAAATGCAGTGGCAGCAGCAGCAGCAGCAAATGCAGTGGCAGCAGCAGCAGAATGCAGAAGAAGCAGCAGTTGAAGCAGCAGGGGCAAATGCAGCAGCAACAGCAGCAGCAAGTGCAGCAGCAACAGCAAATGCAGCAGCAGCAACAGCAAATGCAGCAGCAGCAACGGCAAATGCAGCAGCAGCAGCAGCACGCCGCACCGACAGCAGCAGCAGACACAGCAGCCGGTGCTGCGCCAGCAGAACAAACACCAACAGCAAGCGCAGCAGCAACTGCAGCAGCAGCAGCAGCAGCAGCAGCAGCACTGAAGCGAAGCAGCAGCAGCGAGAGGGGAGCAGCAGCAGCTGCTGCAGTAAGACGCACCTGTCCTCCTACAGGAGCATTGGCCTGTGTTGCTGCTGCTGCACTCGGCTCTGCTGGCTGCTGCTGCTGCTGCTGCTGCTGCTGCTGCTGCTGCTCTGTGTGCAGGGCGGCTGTCTCTTCAAGCTGCTGCCTGAGCTGCTGCTGCTGCTGGGCGAGGCCGAACTGCTGCAACGTCTGCTGCTGCTGCTGCTGCTGCAGCGCGAGCGGCTCCTGCTGCTGCTGCTGCTGCTGCTGCTGCTGCTGCAGCGGGGGCGCAGCATTCAAAGTGGAGCAGCTGCTGCACTGTACGAACACTGCCCGCGAGTCGAAGTGCAGCAAAGAGCTGCAGGCGTGGCAGCGCAGCAGCCGCACGGGAGACTCTTCTGCTGCTTCCTGCATGCAAACACAAGCTGCTGCTGCTGCTGCTGCTGCTGCTGCTGCTGCTGCTGGTGCTGCTGCTGGTGCTGCTGCTGCTGCTGCTGGTGATGGTGGTGGGTGGTGGGGGGGTGCTGCTTGCGTGGTGCTGGGGTGCTGCTGCTGCTGCTGCAGTGGGCTGCTGCTAGGGGTGAAGTGCTGCTGCTGCTGCTGCTGCTGCTGCTGCAGGCGCTGAAGCAAAAAGGGTTTAGGGTTTAGGGTTTAGGGTTTAGGGTTTACGGGATAGACGGGAGGCGGAGGCAAATTCTCTATGCCTGCAACAGAAGAGACAACTCCATTTGGAGACAAAAGAAAGAAGCAGCGGTCCCCCACAAACACAGGGTCGCTGCTGCTGCTGCTGCTGCTGCTGCTGCTGCTGCTACTGCTGCTGCTGCTGCTACTGCTGCTGCTGCTGCTACTGCTGCTGCTGCTGCTGCTGTTGTTGTTGGCGGTGCTGCTGCTGCTGATATTGTTGCTGTCGCTGCTGCTCGCAGCGGTCGGCGCAGCAGCTGCTCCTACTGCCCCTCTCCCCGTCGCTTCTGCTGCTGCTGCTGCTGCTGCTGCTGCTGCTGCTGCTGCTCGGTCGGCTGCCGGCTGCTGCTGCACAGCAGAGGGCGAAGAAAGCTCAAGCTGCTGCGCAGCAGCAGCTTCACTGCCACCAGAGCCATCAAGCGGAGCAGCAGCAGCAGCTGCTGCTGCTGCAGCACGGGCAGCAGCTGCTAAAGAAGCAGCATCTGCAGCACGGCCTTCACTGGAAGCAGCAGGGGCTGCAGCAGCTGCTGCAGCAGCTGCTGCAGCAGCTGCTGCAGCATCGGGAGCACTAACATCTGGTGCTGCTGCAGAAAGTGGCGGCTGAGCAGCTGGAGCAGCAGCAGCAGCAGCAGCAGCAACGGGTGCCTCAGCACTTGCTGCTGCAGGGGCCTCATCAGCTGCAGCAGGCACCAATGCTGCAGCAGCAGGAGGTGCTGCTGCTGCGCTGAGCAACAGACACAGCTCCCTCTGCTGCTGCTGCTGCTGCTGCTGAGGGTCTTCCTGCTGAAGCACAGCAGCAGCAGCACCGCTGCTGCTGCTGCAGCTGCTGCTGCTGCTCATCTGCTCCCACAAACAAGAAAAGCGGCTAAAGCGATAACGCGGCAGCAGCAGCAACAGCTGCCGCTGCTGCTGCTAGTGCAGTCGCCGCTTCGGGCTCCGCTGCTACGGAGATGAGGCTGCTGCTGCTGCTGCTGCTGCTGCTGCTGCTGCTCACAGGGTTATGGCCAGCCTCCCGCGTAATCCACGGGGAAGCCATTAAGCCAGCTGCAGCGGTGCTGCTGCGCCTTCCGCTGCTGCTGCTGCTGCAGCAGCTGCACGAGCTCGCTGCGCTCTGCTGCTGCTGCTCTTCGTGCTGCTGCGGGGAGCAGCTGTTGGCAGCAAGAGCTGCAGCGTTATTCTGCTTGCTGCTTCTGCATGCGCCTCCCGTGTTGCAGTTGCTGCTGCGGAGCAGCAGCCAATGAAGCACGTATATATCTAGCTGATGGTCTGGGGCGGACACTGCAGCAGCAGCAGCAGCAGCAGCAAGATCGGCAGGAGCAGCAGCAGCGGGGTCTACAGAAAACAAAATAAAGGCATGCAGGATCCAAGGAGCCTGCACATGTATCCCGGGGTGCCTGGCTGCTGCTGTTGCTGCTGTTGCTGCTGTTGCTGCTGCTGCTGCTGCTGTTGCTGCTGCAGGCACCGCTTCCGTGCTGCAGCTGCTTCAGACGCCCAGAGAGCTCCCAACAAGAGCAGCTCCTTCAAAAGCCAACATAAACAAAGAAATGACAAGGCACAAGCAGCAAAGGCAGCAGCAGCAGCAGCAGCAACAGCAGCAGCTCGGGCGCCCTTGGGTCTGCTCGATGAACATGCAGCGGCCCCACGCAGCAGCAGCAGCAGCAGCACGAGCAGCAGCAGCAAAGACACAGCAAAGAATCGACTTGATTGAATCTAAGGATTACGTTTTGAGTCTTCTGTAGGCTTCGGCTGCTGCAGCAAGGGCTGAGACGACAGTTCGTGCTGCAGCAGCTAGTTGCAGCACCAGCAGCAGCAGCAGCAGCTACTGCGGCAGCAAAACCAAGAGCTCGGGCATTTTTAGTTATTTGCTGCTATTAAAGTGCTTACAAGCACTAGTTGCAGCTGCAGCGGTTTTGCCTGCAGCAGCAGCAGCAGCACACGGCAGCAGCAGCAGCTGCTGCAGACACTAGAGGCAGCTGGCCGCCGCCGCAGCAGCAGCGGCAGCAGCAGCAGCAGAACTCGCAGCACTCGCGCAGCAGCAGCAGGTGCTGCCCCACGAATGCCTGGGCCGAGCAATCGGCAGCAGCTGTTGTGACAGCCGCAGCAGCAGCAGCAACAGCAGCAGCAGCAGCAACAGCAGCAGCAGCAGCAACAGCAGCAGGTGCAGCAGCAGCAGCAGGAGCAGCAGCAGCAGCAGCAGAGACAGGTGGAGCGCCAGTTTCGGCAGCAGGTGAGGGGTCGGTCTTGTCCCTTTTGTAAGCATCAGCAGCAAACCTGTTGGGGCTTGCAGCAGCAGCAGCAGCAGCAGCAGCAGCAGCAGCAAGAGCAGCAAGTGGACGCTCGCTGCACTCTTGCTGCCGCTTATGCGGCTGCGGAAGCAGCTTGAAAGCCGCAGTTTCCGCGACAGCTGCGACCAGCAGCATCAGCAGCGACAGCAGCAGCAGCAGCAGCAGCCACAGCAGCAGCAGCAGCAGCAGCAGCAGCAGCAGCAGCAGCAGCAGCACTATGGGAAGCAAGTGCTGCAAGAACGCCTTATCGGGTGTACGTGTGCCCCGCGAGAGCCGCAAGGATTTCGCGGACGCAAATAAGCCCTGGCCAGGAGAATATTTGTACGTGCTGCTGCTGCTGCTGCTGCTGCTGCTGCTGCTGCTGCTGTTGCTGCTGCTGTTGCTGCTGCTGCTGCTGTTGCTGCTGCTGGTGCTGCTGCTGCTGCTGTTGCCTTTCCGCAGCTGCGGTTCTGCGCTCAGCGCCGAGGCCGGCTGATGCTGGTGCATGTGCAGTTGCTGCTGCTGCTGCTGCAGCAACTGCTGCTGCTGCAGCAACTGCTGCTGCTGCAGCAACTGCTGCTGCTGCTTTAGAGTCTGCTGCTGCTGCTGCTGTGTCTATGTTGAGGCTCCCACTGCTGATGGCGCAGCTGCTAAGTCTGCTGCTGCTGCTGCTGTTGCTGCTGTACTCTGTAGCAGATGTGTACGCAGTTGTCCGCAGCAGCAGCAGCTGCGGCTGCTGCTGCTTTGCTGCTGCTGCTGCTGCGGCCAGCGGGTGCTGTCTACAGATGTGGTTTTTGCTGCAACATGGCGTTTTTTGCTGCTGCTGCTGCTGCTGCTGCTGCTGCTGCTGCTGCTGCTTCTGCTGCGCGCAGCACGAGGGCGTCTGCTGCTGACGGGCTGCAGCAGCAGCAAACGGAGCTGCTGCTGCTGCAGCAAGCTTCTTCTTTCCCCCCCCAGCCCTCTTCAGTCTCCGCGAGGGTTTCAGATGAAAGCAGATACACAAAAGGAGCAAGCAGTGCTGCTGCTGCTGCTGCTGCTGCTGCTGCTGCTGCTGCTGCTAGCCCCCGCTTTTCCTGCGGCACTTCAAACACCCTCAGGAGCATCCCCTCTTTAGCCCGCATTGCTGACACCCAGCAGCAGCAGCAGCAGCAGCAGCAGCAGCAGCAGCAGCAAGTGTAGCAGTCAGCAGCAAATAAGGCGAAGGGCCCGCAGAGCAAAAGCGGGCCATATATGCGCAAGCCGTGGTGGATGCGGCAGCAGCAGCAGCTGCTGCTGCTGCGAAACTGCAGCAGCAGCAGCAGCTGCTGCGGTGCTGCAGCAGCCGCAGTAGGTACTGTGGCCGCTTTCGCAGCAGCAGCGGCAGCAGCAAGTGCTGCTGCTTTTTCCACTGCAGCAGCAATCGCCTTGGAGCCAACAGCAGCAATGGTTTCGCAGCAGCAGCAGCTGCAGCAGCAGCGCGGAGTGCTCGATTTGCTTCCCAGCAGCTTACATGTTTAGACAGTTGCTGCTGCTGCTGCTGCTGCTGCTGCTGCTGCTGCTGCTGCTGCTATGTCGCTTGGTAGCTTTCAGTGGTCGTTTTGACTGTCTGCCGCATAGGGGAGCGGGAGCAGCAACAGCTGCTGCAGCTGCAGCAGCTGTTGCTGCAGCAGCAACAGCAGCAGCAGCAGCAGCGGCAGCTGCAGCAGCTGCAGCAGTGGCAGCTGCTGCAGCGGCGAGAGCAACAGCGGCTGCCGCAGCAATGGCAACGGCAGCAGCAGCAGCAGCAGCAGCAGCAGCAGCAGCAGCAGCAAGTAGCAGCAGATGCAGACCTCGCCTTTGCAAAGGCGCTTATCTTTGGCTATCAGCCCCTGGAATATCCTTTGTGGTTTAGGGTTTAGGGTTTAGGGTTTAGGGTTTAGGGTTTAAGTTAGGGTTTACGGTTTTTAGTTTAGGGATCTAAACCGCCAAATGAGGGTTTAGGGTTTAGGAGCCCCTGTGTGCAGGCCTAGAAGTTAGGGTTTACGGGTCTTCCGGCCTTCGCTAGGGTTTAGGGTTTAGGGTTTAGGGTTTAGGGTTTCGAGAGCTGCTGGCTGCTGCTGTGGAGAGAGGTGGGGGGAGCTGAAGAGCTCTGGATTTGTTTAACACGCAAACCCTCGTAAACCCTAAACCCTCGTTAACCCTAAACCCTCGTAAACCCTAAACCCTCGCAAACCCTTATCGCTAAACCCTAAACCCTCGCAAGCCGGCGGCGAAGAAGCACCAACGCTCTGGGCTCTAGGGCTTCAGCACTAGGGCATAGGGTTTAGGGTTTAGGGTTTAGGGTTTAGGGTTTACGGGGAGGAAGCTGGTAGGGTTTGTATTTGAGAGTCTAGGGTTTAGGGTTTATGGGGTTTCGGTCGATAAGACAGTTCAGCGTGGGGTGTATAGCTGTTGAGGGTTTAGGGTTTAGGGTTTAGGGTTTTGACACGCGCGTAAGCATTTCAGGACTCCCAGCCACCTCAATAGATGCACATAGGCCCGTAAACCTTATTTTCAGTTAGAGTTTAGGGTTTAGGGTTTAGGGTTTAGGGTTTAGGGTTTAGGGTTTGGGGTGGTTTCGGGTGTGCAGAGAACACCGCAGCAGCAGCAGAGTTGGAGACGCGCAAGCAAGACGCGAAATGGAAATAGAAGTGGCGAAAAGGAGGAAAATAAATAAATAAATAAATAAATAAATTAAAAATAAATAAATAAATAAAAAATAAATAAATAAAAAACAAAAAATAAATAAAAAAACGAAAAAAAGAGGAAATTTCAAGCCGGAGAAGCGGCGGAGGACGAGAGGGTCACGCGGAAACCCTAAACCCTAAACCCTAAACCCTAAACCCTAAACCCTGAGGCCGCGTTTTTGGGCGTCTTGGGCGTTTTGGCCGTCGAAACCTCGGGATTTTCGCAAACCCTAAACCCTAAACCCTAAACCCTAAACCCTAAACCCTAGCTGGCTGCGCGCGCAGCAGCGCCGCCTGTCCGATTTTCGCTGTCTCTGTCTCGGCCTCTCTCGCTGCTGGGGTGTACGTACACCTGGGTTAGGGTTTGCGGTTTTGCTGCAGCAGTGCGGACAGAAGTATCCTCTTTGCGTTCGCCTTTCTCGCCGCAAACCACGATTTAGGGTTTAGGGTTTAGGGTTTGAAGATGGCTCGAGTGTGCCGCGGGCTGGTGACTCTCTCTGTGGCTCTCGCTGCGCTGCTGAGCAGCAGCAGCAGCAGCAGCAGCAGCAGCAGCAGCTTGTTCGCTGCTGCGGGCTCCGTGCCGCCGACCAGCAGCAGCAGCAGCAGCAGCAGCAGCAGCAGCACGAGCACAACCACTGCAGCGCCAGTGCTGCCGCCGCTGGACCTTTCTGCTGCTGGCCTCGAGGCCTTTCTGAAGGAGCTGCTGGGGGAGCTGGGATCGGGATCGGGATCGGGATCGGGATCGGGATCGGGATCGGGATCGGTTTTGCCGGGGCTGGAGGAGCCGCTGGCGCAGCTGGTGGCGGCCCTGGGGGAGCTGCTGCAGGCCGTGGAGGGGCTGCTGCTGCCGCAGCAGCAGCAGCAGCAGCTGCAGCAGCTGACAGCTTCGCTGCGCTCCGTAGTGCAGCAGCAAAACCTCATCAGCAGCAAACTCCACTCGCTGCAGCAAATTGCTGCTGAGGGGCCCTTAGCAGCAAACGAGCTGCTGTCGCTGCAGGCCATAGCGCAGCGGCTGCTGCAGCAGTTCAACAGCTTGGAAGCAGCAGGGCTGCAGCTGCTGCAGCAGCTCAAGGCTTTCTTCCAGAACTTGCTGCCCGAGCAGCAGCAGCAGCAGCAGCAGCAGCAGGACCAGCAGCAGCAGCAGCAGCAGCCCGACAAGGGCGAGCTCGAGCTCCAGACCGACCACATCATGAGGGCCGCCAGGACCCTCTTCCCCGACATCATCAACTAAACCCTAAACCCTAAATTAGGGTTTAGGGTTTGGCTCATCCGCGGCAAGACGCAACGCGCCCCAGCCGCAAACCACTCGCTGCTGCTGCTGCTCCGCTGCAGCAACACCCGCAGCAACAGCTGCAGCAGCTCCTGCTGCTCCTGCAGCTGCTGCAGCAGCAGCTGCTGCTGCAGCAGCTGCTGCTGCAGCAGCTGCTGCAGCAGCTGCTGCTGCAGCAGCAGAAATTGTTGTTTTAAACCGCTTTTAATTTGTTTAAAGGACCTTTGAGAAACGCAAACCCTCGCTCGGTAAACCCCAAAGTCCAAACCCTAGAAAGGCTTCAGGTCTTAGTTTCATAAACCCCAAACCCTAAACCCTAAACCCTAAACCCTAGAAGACCCGAAACCAAGGCCCCGTGAAACAGCTGCGTTGGCCCGGTGTACGTACACCCGAACTCAGCAGCAGCTGCTGCTGTCAGTCAAAGTGCTGCGGACTTCGTTTTTGCTGTTGCTGTTGCTGCTGCTGCTGCTGCTGCTGCTGCTGCTGCTGCTGCTTGTGCTGCTGCTGCTACTGTTGCTGCTGTTGCACGTGCTCGTGCTGCTGCGAAGGCTCTCGTTACCTCTGAGGCTAAAGTTATTGCAACTGCTGCTGCCTTCGCTGCTGCTGCTGCTGCTGCTGCTGCTGCTGCTTCTGCTGCTGGACTTCGCTCAGCAGCAGCAAAGGCCTTCGCTGCAGCAACTGCATCAGCATCGAAGCTGCAGCAGGTTGTAGATGTGCTGCTGCTGCGGAGCCGTGAGCTGCGTTCTGCTGCTGCTGCAGCAACACAGCAGCAGCAGCAAGCCCTGCAGCTGCAGCAGCATGCTTTGCTGCTGCAGCAGCACGCATAGTAGCTGCAGCAGCAGGCCTTACTGCTGCGTCGTTAAGCGCTTCTGCAGCAGCAGCACATGCTGCTGCTGCTGCTGCAGCAAATCGGTAACCTTAAAATCTGTGTCGCTGCAGCAGCAACCCCAAACCTAAGCTCCGTGCTGCAGCAGCAGCAGCAAATAGAGCTGCGGCAACGGAAGACACAGCAGCAAGAGCAAAGACACAGCAGCAGCGATAGAAGACACGGCAGCAAAACTTCTGCAGGCAAGAGCTGCAGCAATAGCAGCAGCAGCAGCAAAGACACAGCAGCAGCAGTAGAAGACACGGCAGCAGAACTTCTGGCAACAAGATCCGCAGCGATAGCAGCAGCAGCAGCAGCAGCAGCAGCAGCGGCTTCGGTGGCGCCAGCAAGCTGCGAGGCAGCAACTCGGGCACGGACAAGAGCAGCAGCAGCAACAGCAGCAGCAGCAGCGGCTCGTGCTGCTGCTGCTACACATTTAACCTGACTAGTTTCTGCTATTGATACTTAAGCAGCAATTTCACTTATTTATAGCAGCAGCAGCAGCAGCAGCAGCAGGGAAAGCACTGCGACTGTGCCGGGCCCCACTGCTGGACCACCTGCTGCTGCTGCTGCTGCTGCTGCAGCAGCAGCTGCTGCTGCTGCAGTTCATTCCCAGCGCGTGTGCAGCAGATAAGACTTCTGGTAAGCTTCAAGACCTTCAAATGTGGCTGCTGCTTTTGCTGCTACTCATGCTGCTGCTGCCGCTGCTGCCGCTGCAGACTGCTGCCGACGGCGGTGTGTGGGACCGTTGCTGCAGCTGCTGCCGCTGCATGCAGCAGCAGCAGCAGCAACAACAGCGCCAGCAGCAATGAAGCTTTCCTTTTTCCTTTCGCTTCTGCGCTGCTATTTGGAGAAAGTCACGGCAGCAGCAGCAGCAACAGCAGCAGCAGCAAGCCCATGGCAGCAGCAGCAGCAGAGTTACGCCTTGGCACAGCCGATGCAGCAGCAGCAGCGGTAGCAGCAGCAGCAGCAGCAGCAGCAGCAGCAGCTAACGCCTCCAATGTCGATAAAGCCCATAGATTTCGCTGCTCTCCTTGCGGAGGCCCGAGCGGCTCGCAAGAAGCAGCAGCAGCTGCAAAAAGAGCAGCAGCAGCAGCAGCAGCTGCTGCTGCAGCAGAACCAAGAGCAGCAGCAGCAGCAACAGCGCCTCGCTGACGAGACTATCCAATCAGTCCCAAACAGCTGCGGCAGCAACAGCAGCAGCAGCAGCAACAACAACAACAACAACGCCAGCAGTAGCAGCAGCAGTAGCAGCAGCAGCAGCGACAGCAACAGCAGCAGCAACAGCAACAGCAGCAGCAACGGCACGGAGGGCTCTCTGCCCCGTTTAAAATGGTCTATCTGCAGCACAGCCTTCGTTTTCAATTTGCTGCAGACGCAGAAGCCGCTGCAGCAGCAGCAGCTGCTGCAGCTGCTGCAGCAGCAGCACCCGTCCCCACAGCCGCAGCAGCAGCAGCAGCTGCTGCTGCTGCTGGATCTCCGCAGTGCGGATGCCTTTGACAAGTGCCACATAGCTCAAGCAACGCATGCAGAGCAGCTGCTGCAGAGAATCCTGCCTCCCCCACAGCAGCAGCAGCAGCAGCAGCAGCAGCAGCAGCAGCAGCAGCAGCAGCGACTGCGCATTGTTGCATACGCCGAGGATGAGGAGACAACGCGCTGCATCCTAGCAGAGATGGAGGGCCCTCCAGGCAGCAGCAGCAGCCGCAGCAGCAGCAGCAGCAGCAGCCGCAGCAGCAGCGTGCAGCGGCTGCTGCAGCTGCTGCAGCAGCTGCAGCAGCAGCTGCTGCTGGAGCTGCGCTGCATAGCGGGGGGCCTCGTTTGCTTCTGTGAAGACTACGGCTTTCTTTGTCTCAGTGCAGCAGAAGAAGCAGCAGCAGCACTGCGGCTGCATGCAGCAGCAGCAGCAGCACTCATGAGCTACCCCCAGGAGGTGCTGCGGGGGCAGCGGGAAGCAGCAGCAGCAGCAGCAGCAGCAGCAGCAGCAGCAGCAGCAGCAGCAACTGTGCCGTTCGCAGGCTTGTTTGTGGGCAAGCCGCTGCATGCACTCAGCAGCAACGTGCGCCGCCGGCTGCAGATAAAGCACCTTATAGATTTATCTGCTGCTGGCCTCAGCAGCAGCAGCAGCAGCAGCAGCAGCAGCAGTGGCAGCAGCAGCAGCAGCGTCAAGCACTGTAGTTGTTGCTGCAGCTGCTGCTGCGGCTGCGCCGCCAGGGCCACCGTTGAGTCGCCATCTGCGTGGCGGCCAGCAGCAGCAGCTGCTGCTGCTGCTGCTGCGTCTCCTGCTGCTGCTGCTGCTCTGCTGCACTACACCGTAGATGTGCCTCAAGTGGTGCAGCAGATACGGCAGCGGCTGGGCTCCACAGGCTGCAGCTGCAGCAGCAGCAGCAGCAGCAGCGGCAGCAGCAGCAGCAGCAGCGGCAGCAGCAGCAGCAGCTCAGGGTCCGTGTTGGTGGTTGCAGACGATGATGCATGCAGCCGCAGCGCAGCAACCCTGGTTCTTGCTGCCGCAATCAGCAGCAGCAGCAGCAGCAGCAGCAGCAGCAGCAGCAAGGACCCGATGGCAGCTCTTGCCCAAGTGCTTGGGAGATGGAAAGATGCGCTGCTGCTGCCGCAGCACATGCAGCAGCTGCGGCGCTGCAGCAGCAGAGCGGCTGCTGCTTACAGCAACAGTAACAGCAGCAGCAGCAGCAGCAGCAAAGAGGAAGAAGAAGAAGCAGATGAGTTGCTGCTGCAGCAAGCTGCTGCTGAGACTCTCACTATGTACACGGCGCCGCAGACTCCCCGGTTCTCTGGAACTGCAGCAGCAGCAGCAGCAGCAAGCGCTGCTGCTGCTGCTGCTGCTGCTGCTGCTGCATTTCGAGCAGCCTTAGTAACCCTGCAGCAGCAAAAAGATGTGAAGGCCGAGGACGCGTCTCAGCAGCAGCAGCAGCAGGTACAGCAGCAGCAGCAGCAGGAACAGCAGCAGCAGCAGCAGGAACAGCAGCAGCAGCAGTGCTTTCGACACGCAGCAGACTTGCTAGTGCAGGCTTTGTGGACGGGAAGCACCCAAGCAGCAGCAGCAGCAGCAGCAACAGCAGCAAGCAGCTTTGCTGCTGCGGGGCTCAAGCCAGCAGCAGCAGCAGCAGCAGCAGATGACGATGGCTGCTGCTGCTGCTGGTGGCTTGTGGCAGATCTCATTGGGCTGCTGTGCCTGCAGCAGCAACAACAGGAGCAGCAGCAGCAAGAGCAGCAGAAGACACTGCAGCAGCAGCAGCAGCAGCAAAAGCAGGACATACAGATGCTTGAAGGACTGCTTTTGCTGCTGCGTCGTGGTTTGCTGCTGCTCAGGGAAGAGCAGGCAGCAGCAGCAGCAGCAGCAGCAACTGCAGCAGCAGCAGACCGCTACAGCCCTGCGGGTGTCGCACTTTTAAATACTGCTGTTCTTTGGCAGCAGCTGCAGCAGCAGCAACCCGAGCAGCAAGTGCTGCTGCAGCAGCAGGGCAAGCAGCTGCGGAAGCTGCTGCTGCAGTTCTTAGGAAAGGCAGGCAGCACCTTGCTTGAAGCAGCTGAAGCAGCAGCCCTCAGCAGCAGCAGCAGCAGCAGCAGCAGCAGCAACAGCAGCAGGAGGGGAGAGACACTCTATGGCGTCCCCACTGAGGGGGTCCGCTGCGCTGCTGCTGCATTTTATTGCTTCTTCTTGCAACCCCTGGTGCTTGCTGAGCAGCAGCAGCAGCAGCAGCAGCAGCAGCAGCAGCAGCAGCAGCAGCAGAGAAGGCTGCAGCGCGGAGTTGAGAAGCTACGAAACTCACAGTGGGGCGAGACTGTGTCTGCTCTTGCTGCAGCTGCTGCAGCAGCTGCAGCAGCAAAGGGAACTGCAGCAGCGGTGTCACTGCTTCCCAGCAGCAGCAGCAGCAGCAGCAGCAGCAGAGCTGTGCCGGAGACGCTGCATGCAGTGCTACGGCCG